GATGCTATGCTTTCCGTCACAGACTTTGAATAATTCACTAAAATTAAAGTGCAGGCTAACAGCTTCCTCAAAGTTAAGCCTGAGCTCATCTGAGAGCTCATCAGGGGTGAGCTGCAGCCCAGCCTGGCAGTCCCCATCTCTGGTGCTTCCATCCAATGCCTCCCACCACCAGACTCAGTGGTGGAGTAGCTGAGCAGTTCAGACCCAAACAGTGGAAGGCAGTGCAGGGGCAAGTCCAGGTTGAGTACGGAGATAGAAAGCAAGATGTCAAGTACACAGAGGAGTAAAATAGTGAATTTCATGGCAAAATTGTTGAATTGATGGCAGCAAGAAAATAGAATAATGCATGAGCTTAGATTTATTGAGATTCTAGTGCCTTTCAGTTGAATGAAATCGTCAACAGCACCATTTCAGGCTCTCTGCAGTCTTACTCTAGCAGCCATGCATCCATTTATGCTCACTCCCCTTTCTTGTTTTAAATACTCTCTGCCTCTCTCAAGGCTAGAAACCATTTTTTCCCCTCTAAAATGCTGAAGACCGTATGTCCCAAGCAATATTCAATCTCGTCTCTTATATTGCTTTACCCAACACCTTTTTAAAGAGAACAGTTTGAGGTGCCATCATTTTTCTTTATCTTTCATTACTCATTTGGTAAAAACAGGTATAACACTGCTTCTTAGGGCAACAGCCGAAAATCTATACCGGGCAAACACTGCAGTTATGTATCAGGGCGCTAGATGGGTAGTGGTTTATATATTAACATGCCTTTGTGTAATATTGAAAGATCAGGCTCACAGCAGAAAACCAATACATTGTTGGGGTTTTTTTGAGCAGAGAACCAGAAGTAAGAGTTCGGGTTTTCATCCTGTTAGGGATGCTGATTCATAGGGTCTTTGGACAAGTATATAGCTGTCAAACTCCGTGTTTTGTTAATTGCCCTGCCAGCTTTTTCTCTTCTTAAAATCAAGAGAGTAATTGTGCATACCTAACTCCTAGCACTGCAAGTGCTGTAAGTGACTGAGGATTGAGTTTACAGACTTACTACTTACAGTCCAACAGGTTACTTTATTCATCAGTGGTGGTGCATTTAAAAGTGGAGAAAAGAGGTCAGCCGCTCCTGCTGCAGTTTTAGGCTGCATGTAAAAGGGTGAAAAGTAATAGAAGAAAAATAATCGTTGTGTGTTTTTTTGCAGGGAAGCTTGGTCGCTTTCCACCGAGGATGCCTTACCAGGCCACTCCTGACAGCCGAGCTGCCCCTCATTTTCCAAGGACTCACCTTGCTGAAGCAGTTGCCAAAGCCAAGGCAGGTGGAGGTGGAAGCACTGGTGGAACTGGGAGAGGTCTTGTGGGGCAGATTATCCCTATATATGGATTTGGCATCTTCTTATATATCCTGTACATTTTATTTAAGGTAAGACCAACATAAATTGAAAAGTCAGGGAAATAACAACTAAAAAAACCTCAAAAGAGAAACGATTGGTTTCCATTTGAGCCTTGCTCAAGAAAAAATGCTTATGCTGGACCTTTGGCTGGTGGTTGAAAGATTGGTGTATCCTGTGGTTTTTGCTATTGCAAAGGCTGTAGCTAAGAATGCAGGGACAGGTTGCTGAAATGCTGTATTGGCCTCTGACCTCTTACAATTTTTTTAAGGATTTTTTTTTCCCCCAGGAAAATGTGTATGTCAAGAACAACGTTAGACTGATTTTGAATATACACATAGTATTCTGTGTGACTACATATTATATATACTGTATATGTCATGTATTGTATTATGCATTTAAAGTGGGAGAGAGGGAGTACAATTATTGCGTACCTTCTGGAACAAAAGCACCATGTTGTTGGAGAATGGGAGTTTGTAAGGTTCTATTGACCACGCTGGCACTACCCCAGCTGAGGAACTGGTTGCAAGCTAGTTTAAAAAAGCACAGCCCAAATTACCCTGAAGTGTTTCACACGTGATTTGACCTTCTAATGGATTTTTGATATGCAGGCGTGACTTGCATGTAGGTGATGACAGTCAGCTGTGTGGGAGGAGGGAGAAGTGGACTTGTGGAAATGTTTTTTCCTTTGAGTGGGGGCTGAATCCAGACTGAGCAGTGTCCAAACAGTTGAGCCTGCTCTGGACAGATGAGAGGCAAGAACGAGGTGAATTGGGTGAGCTGATCAAACCAGGACAACAGAGAAGACGAAAGAAATAGATAGCCTGCAGCTTCTGTATAGAGCCAGCCAGTATCTTTGCTGCAGGTATAAAGTTGGTAAGGAATAATGGCAGAAAACATTGCAAGAACAGCAAGTGGGGTCACATATAATTCCTTCAGAACCTGTCCTTTATTTCACAATAATTGCCCAATGCACTGTTTTTTCCCTCCTGTACGCAGAAGAGTTACAGGATCAGGCCGGAACAGCTAAATAGTCTAAAATGAAAAAGTTTTTTTTGATGAGTTATGGTTTCACTATGCTTAAAAATATCATTTGTTCCAAGTGTCTTTTAGGAGTTTTCAGCTGGCAAGATCTCCCAGGCATCTTTCACGCTTGTCTGTTTTTGCTGCTGGGCATGCTTTTCTGTGGTTACTTTCTGGCATATTGTAGTTTTCTATCCTTTTTTCTGTTGCCTTTGAGGCTTATATATTACTATTGCTGTAACTCATAGAAGGGCCGTCTTTTTTCACTCATCAGCTGGCTTCCAAGGGAAAAACTATTGCTGGAGAGCGGAAATGCCCTACTGCTGCACCTGGAAACATGAAGAGGAAAATCAGTGAGTATGACTTCTGAGTTGTATCTGTGTAGCTGTTGACTTTGTAGAGGCACGGTCCAACCAGGTTCTTCAAGTTCTGGGTACACTGTAAAGCTGCTGTTCCCCCCTGTAAAGAACAAGCCAGAAGCTTCTGTGTTGGAATGAGCAAGAGTTAAAGTGAATTACTGCACCGTCACTTTCTAATCTCATTCGGCTAATGAGACTCTGCAATAGTAGCCTGATCCCAAGCCCCCTTGGAAGCAATGTCTTTTCATGAGGTTCACGGAATTAACTGTACGGATTTGCTGAAAAGCTATGTAGCTAATGATTAAAAACAGATAATAGGATGTCCATCTATAATTATTCTATAATCCGTAATATTCCAGTAATAGTATATAAAGATATTATTAAAAGCTACCTTCATTTTTTTGAATTTGTGAATTCTTAGCCATCACCAGGCACTTTCCTACTTTTCCCTTCCCTTTCTGCAACGCTCAAAGTTTTGATGAGAAAGCAAATAGTATTCTGAAACATTATTGTGATTTTATCTAAACATCAGTGGGATAGATTCAACTATTTGTAGACATTTATTAGATAAATTAATAAGCTTAGTATTGAAGATTGGATGAGTAGTCGCCATAACACTATTTAAATGTGTTGTGTTTAGCTGGCTAAATTGTAATAGGAAAGGAAAGTACTTAGGGCTTTATAGAAAGTGCTAGCAGTAAGGTAATTCTCTTAACATAGCTGTAATTATCTTGACATTAATGCGTATATTAGGAATACCTAAGATACTCAGTGCTATAGATTGTATTTCAGTGCACTTGTACTGCATTGTGCCTGGCATTTTTGTGCAATTTATTAGCAACGGTAATTGTATTTTTTTCTCTAATGCTTGGTAAGAGAAACTAACTTTGCAGTAAGTTAAATATTTACTGTCATTGTCACCCAAAGAACTAGTAATGAAAATTATTCTGCCTTTTTCTAGAGCTCTTCATTTGTATTCCTAAAGCATTCATTGCAAGCTGTAGCAGAGCAGGGGACAAGTCACTGGACTAGGAAACACTTTCATAATGACTTGGAGGGAGTAACTTCCTTTCTCTTTACCAATTTCCCTTCCCCTGTTTTTAAAGTCTCAGACATGCTAAAGAATGACAACAGTGATACATTAAGTAATGACATTCTCCGCAGAATAGAGATCTTCCCAAAAGCAGGATGTTTGTGGATGGCTTTCTCCATTCCTACTATGTCGGAGTTGCGTTGTGCCTTTGTGCTGCTTAAATGGGTGTGCCTGTAGCAGCTGAATATTTAACTAACCCAGGCTGGTTTCATTTTGTTCTGCAGTTGGGAACAATGAAGTCTAAGCTATAGGATTTTGAGCATGAGCTAAAAAAGCCAAACAAGGAGCTCAAGCATTTTTGTTGACGTCCATGCTGTTGCATCTTTACTGTTAACACTTCCAGCTAAATTAAAGCCAGTGTGGGTGTTCCTGCATGTATGCATGTGTGTCTACTATTGTACTATGGACACATTTTTTGAAAAAAGTGCAACCATGGAAATACTGCGCTTTGCTCCCCAGACAGACACCACGTGGCTAGCTGTTGTTCAGCCGGGTGAGCCTGGCAGACGGTTAGCACTTACTGCCTACCCCAGCACACCTGTGCAGGGTTGGATGCCATCAAGCCCATAAACTTTAAATCTTTGATAAAGATGTGGTTTCTCAAACCTCAGACATGTTAGAAAATGCTCAAGTGACCTTTTGTCTCTGTTCCCAAGGACTTAACAGGGAAATTCCATGAGAACTATTAATTCTGCAGAAGACAGTAAAACACTATGGTTTCCTTAGAGGGGAAAAAAAAAAGGTATTTTCCCTAACTTTAATCTCCAGGGCGTTTACAGTGGCCCACTCACTCTGCTTATTGGAAGGTTGTTCAGGAGCCTTTGAAAGAAGGTGCTTTCTGTGTGTCCTATTACCACTGGCAATAGTCTTTACCTTCTTATACCAGGAAAGGTAGGTAGAACTCTTTAAGTTGCATGTTTTAGTTTCCTCACAGCCAGTTTGGTTTGGTACAGCAAATGCTACCTGTGGTAATGGGACAGGGATACATTTTTAAAGATCCTACTGACAAATCTTGGGATTTTGTTTCTTTTACAGCTGACTATGAGCTCACTCAACTGCAGGAAAAATTGCGAGAGACAGAAGCAGCTATGGAAAAATTAATCAACAGAGTAGGGCCTAATTGTGACAGGTATGTTTCAAATTACAGCATTTTAAGGAGAGATTCTGCTCTGATTAGAAATTAAACCTTCTTACATTGGCTATATTAAAATAGCATTTTTATTACTACTTCAAATTGTAGAAATTTGATTTTACACATCACGCTTTTTGTTCTGCAGTTTTTATCTTTTCAGCATCTATATTTAAAATAAATAATTTTTTCCAACTTCATTTTCCTAAACAGAAAAGCAACTATCCCTACCCTCCCCCTTTGTACAGTGTGTTATTTGGAAGATAATGATAGGTATGTGTAAACAGAAAATAAAACATCTACATTTAAAGTATATAAATCAACCTGTCAGCTGTGACCAAAGTAATATTCTGAATGATTCCTTAAAAAGAACTATTTGTTTCATGTTATTTTCCAGTTCTATGGATTATTTTTCTAAATAGAAATGCTGTTATAATCTATGTATATGCCTGTTAGAATATCCATAAAATATTTCTTTTAAGGGCATAATTGTATAATAATCTGATTCCATAACTTAGTTCCACTGTAACCAGTAAATCCACGCATTTGCTTCTAAATATAAAAAAGAGAGTTGTAAAATCAGGATTTAAAAATGTATTATGTTTATTAATGTTTGCTATAAATCTGAGATCACTATTCTACATTATAAAGAAACACTGGAAACAAGTCTATGTTTTCATAAGGAGTGTAACAACACATCAATAGGACAATGCATAACTGCAGTGTTTGAAAATTTAAATACCATGAATATTAAGGTGACGTTTGCAAGCAAAAAAGATAGCTGTTCAGGTTCTAACACGTTAACTTTGTCTGGATCAGTCAATGCCTGTTTTAACCCATTCCGTAGGAACAATTCTGTGCTGAACTTGCACGTTATGTTCATTTATGCTTCAAACCGCATTCTCTTTGAGTGTGTAGTTTTGCCCACTTTGCACCATGCCCTGTATTGCAGCTGCAGTCGTCTCAGCAAGATGACGTGCCAAACTTGCCTGTATTAGGCCAGGTTCCAGCAGGAGAACCCCTAAGCTGCCCTGGTTTTGTTAGTGAAACAGAGGGATACCATTTTGACTATTACTCATCTCTGTTTTGGAGAGCTAAAACAATGCTCTAAGTGTACCTTTAAGCTGCCAGAAATAGGCTTATGAGCTGCCCAGACATTGTGCTGACTCGCAGGATAGGATGTTTTTTACTGAGAAAATGGGTTTAAGGTCTGATCCAGTATTTGTTCCACTCTGTGTTATTGGCTCAGAGCCTTTATTTAGTAGAACTTCCCTGCTTTGTTCAACCAAACTATTTATGTAGATGGATCTAAAGGCCTCAGGGGAAATCAGAATCTGAATCTGCTAAAGAATTGTGTATGTATGTAGCCTCTTTAAAGAGAAGGGAAAAAGCACTTCTAGATGGAGCACATAGCTGTTTTTCAAATACACCCAGACTTTGAAGCTTTCTTAATCTACACTGTGATACTCATGAAGTTCGGTAATACTGGATGAATGTCTTAAAAGAAAATGTTTGGTTAGAAAGTGCGATTACAGCACAAAGTACACTGCTAGGCTTATTCAGTATGGATTTGATAGATTTAAATAAAAAGGAAAGAGGAAGAGAGCAAAAATTACTTGAGCTCCATTTATTAATATGCAGTTAAACAGAAATCCTTACAAGAGGAAAGTAAGAGAAAGAAGTAACCGGTATAAAATCTAAACTAATGCTGAAAGACCCCAGGTGATGCCATGGCCCATTATACTAGATATGGCACAGCAACTCCCAGCCTGCCAAGTGAAGTATTAGGAACCAAACCAGAGGACGTATTTTGCATTGTCATAAAAAACGATGGCCAGGCCAGGTCCTCAGCAACGTAACCACACCTAAAGTGAGAGATGGACAAAGATAACTGTTACCTGCTGCACACGCTTAAATGGGTAGTACGTAGTACCTAAGGATGTAATGATTCACAGCTTTGAGAAAACCTAGCACTCTTCCCACCTCTTTTTTCAACAGGTTACAAATTTAAATTGTACAGTTTTGTAATTTATCATCACATCCTATCACTGAGGGGACCTCAGTATCTCCAGTTTCTAAATGTAGACCTTTATAGTCCAGTATCTCTCAGCAGAGATGAGCAGCCTTGCTGGGATTTTGATGATTCAGAAATAAAGGCTTGATTGACGGTTATATAGGGCGCTCTGCATTAAAGGCATGCATATTGCTTTTTTTCAGGCTTTTAGCAGAGTGTTTCAATGTCGGGACAGTGATATAATGGGTACAAAAGATTTCCCTACCCCTTCTCACAGATGTCTTATCCATATTCTTTTCACCACTGTCTGTAAAATTTGGTAATTTGAAACCACTTTAAATTGAAGAATACTTGTAAATATTTTTCTCAATGGGAGTATTGTAAAATACTATCTTTTAAAAAAAATCTCAATTTCTGGTAATTAGGTAAGAGATCGAAATAATGCAGCTCGATTACCTGTTTTTAAAGTCCTGTTTACCAGGCTGTCAATTAGAAAAACTTATGCAGCTGTGGGCTGCGGCTGGGGGAGCCCCGGGGGGGGGGGGGGGGGGGGCGGTGGGGAGAGAGAGAGAGGGGCTGTACTCTGTGGGGTGCTATTCTTGGGCTATAGCTGCATTTTAATAGTGATTATTTTAAGATCATGAAGAAAAAAAATACCGGTTGACATGTCTTAGATACCATGTTAGATTATGGATTTTCACTGCAGTCATGCTAGCTCTTTAGGAAATGTTCTGATCTCAGTATAAGAATAAAACCTTTACTTTACCTGTTAGTGAGCACTTTGGGACTCTACAAAACGTAAGCATCGCCACTATGAAAAGTAATAGCTGTGTTGGAGCTACAAACACACAGAGCAAAAATAATGACCTTTTCTTACACTGTAAACCTTTTGCATCTGTTGTTCTCTTAGTATTCATAAGTGCATTATACCCTGGTAAATCTCCCGTACGCAGGCAGCCAGATGTCTTATGCATTGCCAGCATCCTACAGTAAGTCTTCCTAGAGGCCTTAAATGAAGTAGAAATAGTGCATGGGCTTTGTTTTTTCGTTCTCTACAGGGAAATTTGTCTTTTAAGCAAGGTATCTGGAGGAGGAATACTCTGAAATACAGAGACCTTGTGTTGCAATAAGACAGTAGTGTGAGTAATGAGGAAATTAGGAATTTTCCTATATGAAATGCCACAGTGATGCAGCTGCATTGATTGATCCTATTATCTGAGCTAGCATATCTCCCCATTGTGCTAAACAGACAGGCCTCTTTGTCTTTATCCAGGTAATATATATTCAAATTATATACACTTTTGTCTATAAAAGGAGGATTAGTTTGGCAGTTCTATTACAGCTTCTGTCAAAGGCAGCTAGCTGATGAAACCATTTCTTTTTATATGCCTCTTAATTCACATCTCAAATTCTACATCTGCATAACCTAGACTTTTGAGAAGATGCTGTCTCACACCTTTGCTTGTTCTGTGGAACAAACTGCCACCGCAACTTGAAGGGACTCAGTGCAACCTCCATATAGTGCTTGGACCATATCAGCTTTTCAAACTGTGGGGCAAAGTGTCCCCCAGGGGAAGCACAGAGAAATGATGTTTAGCCTTGTGATCTCAGTCACTAACAGTTTAATCTGGGTAGCTGCTAATGAAACCAGTGGGCCCGCTCCTGAGCTAAGTTCAGTTACAGACAACTGTGTGCAGCTGTGCACAAAATATAGCCCAGGGTGAGCGATTTGATCGCCGTCACACAAACCAGCAGTATGCTGCTAATCTCTTTGGCTTTAAACCAGTATGACTCTGCTGCCTTTAGTGGAGTAACTATCGTGTCACCATCATTACTGTATATGTAGAGCAGCACAAAGTACCTATTAAAGTGCTACTCTAGTCATGACAGTTAGTAAGAGGAAAAACTGAAGATGGGTGCTGCAAGTTTTCAAGTTTATGAGAATTCAGGTACCTGAAACAAGGTTTAGGTAGATACTAATCACTTAAATCCAAAATCATTAATCTGTTTCCAGCTCCCCTCTTCCCATCTCACCCCTAAGATTCACCGAGCAGCTGTCTAATCTTGGAAATTATCTGCCTGTGTGATGGTCTGGAGATCACCAGAGATATCTGTCTGACCTTACGTACCGCTTACAGTTCAGCATTCTGCGCATGCCAAGGGTCACCCTCTCTGGGTAACTAGGGGCAAGAGATCCTGCCTAAAACTCAGCGAGATTCAAAAGAGCGCCAGAGTAGCCTCAGTCCCCTGAGAGGCTTGAACTGGCACTTACACAGAGATCAAACACCTGCTTAAAAACAACTTGAAACTCAAGATGAAACAAGCACAACAGTCAGAACCATTTTCACCCCTAAGTACAGCCAGTATCTCTCTTATTCTGACCTACTGAGTTAGTTGGTAGACCTCAGATCACCACTCTCCAAATACTTCTTTTTTGTCCATAAGATTTTTAGGAGACTATTTTTTTTTCCAGAGAAAATAACATGTAATGACTACATGATCTTATCTGTTGGAAGCATTTTTGTTACAACAGTAAGTAATTGTATTACCTGAACAGTAGTAATTACTAGAATCAGCAGTGTAGAACTAGTCAAAATTATAGTTTGGTTTTAATCTGATAAAAATCTCAGTCCTCTCCTACTCTGCCTCTGATTCTAAAAGGCAAGTTAAAGTTAAATGTAACACATTCTTTTCATTTTTAAATCTTCCTTCCTGCTTCTCCCCCAACTTCCCTGCCAGGCAGCATTGTTGACTCTGTATAATAACATGACGATCTGTCCAACTGACATTTCTTAATGAGGCCTTGCAAATTTAATACCTTTAATTGTCACAATTAGGGATCATTAGACTCTTGAGGCTAATGTCTGTGTGAGACATTTTGATCAGCCCCACAAGTTCCTTTAAATGTAGCATAGGTTGTGAATTACATTTTCTTATCATGCTTCACACAAGATATGGCCCTCGAATTCTCACCTAACACTCTTTTAAAGGCCAGAAATTTCTGTAATGTCTTTTGTACCATAACTCTTGCTTGTGTGTCACTTTCATCTTGCTCTCACATTGGCTGTACCTGCCAATGTTCCTTTACCTGTTTAAGTTTGCGGGCTTTCTGGATAAATGGATAAACCTTTATACCGAGCTGAAGTGCAGACCACATGCAGATGTTGAATAGTGATCATACTGCAGCCAGGTTTCTTCAGACTGTGCTGCTGGGACGGACCAAACGGTTGGGTTCAAACTCTGTTAATAGTTTGTAATAATAGTGGACTGAATTCTGGTGTCTAACATTTTCTAGCAGTACTCAAAATGTTACAACAGACCAGGAAAAAAGGTTACTTCAGCAACTCCGAGAAATTACTAGAGTTATGAAAGAAGGAAAATTCATAGATGGCATCTCTCCTGAGAAGGAAGCTGAAGAAGCTCCTTACATGGAGGATTGGGAAGGTAAGCAAGAGCCTTTCTTACCATTACTCTGACAAGAAGCATTGAATAAGGATTACTTACAGTCCCAGATCCTTCCAACATTTTTTGTTAACTTTATCCTTCCTTTTCAGAAGTCAGTGGTCAAAACTTTGCAAGAGGTTGTTTGTTTTCCCAACCATAATAGAAGAAAATAGATTTTGAGGCATCCAGCATTTCCTTTAGTGTAAACACTACACTATCTGCTGCCAGAAGTGGCATATGAATATTCACATATGCTCCATCTGCTGCTGGGTCTTGGCTGCTGTAGGTTTATATCTTTCCCTTTCTTTGCTGGGCTAGATTTCATGCAAAATCATAAAACCCTTGGAAATCAGAATCAATATGTTTTGGATAACTTACAGTTTTTACTTTTGATTGATTAGTCATTCTTTGTTTGCTCCAGTGTTGTAAAAGTCAACTCCAGGAAGTCTGTCTTTTAAAAATTCTTTATTTTAATGTCCTTTCTGTTCCTTGGCATTTGCTTGTTACATAAATGTGTTTTCAAGATACCCTAGTTGAGCGGCTCACTATCATAATTTTAAATGCAGACTTAATTCTTTGCTCTTTAAGAAGCTTTCAAAGATGATCCAAAACATAAAGCATAAACAGTGGCCTCAAGCTCTGTTTTCTTAAGTCAAGTTCATGATGCATTTTCTAAAATGAAATGCACAAAGTCATTGACATATCTGGTTTTTCAACTTTATAAATAATGCTGTTTATACCAAAAGTCTTCAAAACATGAGTCAATCTGTAGACAGAAACAAAAAAAATGGATCATTTAAAGATCTAAGACTCAATTTTCACCTGTTAGCTCCCATAGCTTTCAGCAAAGCTCAGATATTCACTCCTGAAAGTCAGGGTTGATATCTTGGCTCCCTAAAAATAAGTGGAGTTTTGCCATCATCTCCCAAGAAGTCATGTTTTGCATGTTCTTGCCATGGATTTAATACTGTGACGTATACATGGCATTAAATAGATGACACTTATACTGGCAGTGCTAAAAACAACTGTTCTAACAAACTTGTGCATCCATCACTGAAGTCAGTACTACTTTTAAATGCTGGTAACACTTCAAGCTGCATATCACTTTATTCCTAAGGTTATCCAGAAGAGACCTATCCTGTCTATGATAATTCCGATTGCTTCAAGCACAAACAGGACACAATCCTCGTAGATTATCCTGACCTGAGCCAGCCCTCTGCAGAAGAGCTGGCAGAAAGAATGGAGGGCATGGAAGATGAGGAGCATCTGTGCAATGAAACCCTGCTTACTGATCTCACCATGGGAAGGGGCCGTCATGGTTTAATGCAGAAAAAGCACGAGGTAACTGGCATCAGTGAAGAGGAGAGGGACCTTCATCACAGCCAAAGCATTGAGGAGTGCTGTTGTTATGAGGATGACGATCCTGCTGTCATAGCGGAGAATGCTGGATTCCACTCTGAGAGCTGCAGCGAAGCAGAAGAGCCAACCCAAGAGGACCTGTCTGTGGAGTCAGAAAATCAAAATGCAGCACTGAAACAGCAAAAAGCCAGTGATTCAGATGAAACAAGCGCACTGAGAAAGCGCAACACAAAAGGGCTTGAGTAATAGGGACAATAGTGGATGTTACCTAGATGGTGAAGGTAGAGGTCATAAACTGTCATTCGTGTGGTTTTTGTTCCCGATGAAGACTTCTCTATGTTCATCTCCTTGTACCAATTTCATTCCCATGGTAACAATCAGTCACATCATCTTCCTGAACTGGAAGCCAATGCCCTCTTTCATGCAGTCTTGTCATGACTTACCATGACGTTGCCAACAGCGCTTTGTCCTTGTTTTTTGGAGACTGGTATCTTGGAGCAGATTATTCTGTTAGGATATTTGTGATTCTTTCCTTTCCGATTCTGAACAACGTCCTAATTTTTGCCCTTTGTTATCCCAGAGTTAACCAAATGTCTCTTCTGACTCTCTCAAAAGCATCTGTTTGTGTCCTACCAGTTATGAGAATTAATCAAATCCATATATATTTATGAGATTACCAGGAAGCTGGAGGAGAGAGTATGCCTTCTTTCTCTTACCTGAATGTTAACTGATCAGCAGAACAGACGATAGTCACAGACGTGACTCTTTCTTAACCGTGTCATTGCTGCTGTACACCCGGGAAACTGTTGTCACTACAATCCACAAAATTCATACGCTACCCCAACCCACAGCCCATTTCCCAGCTTATTCCATGCTGCAGGACCAGTAGCCTAATCTATGTTGTGTTCCAGGAAGAGTGTGAGCAAGACCGAAGCGTTATGAGTTGTTTTTTGTCTTTGCCATAGCCATCGTGAAACGTCTTGGTGAAACTCCCAGATGAGTGCAGGAATCGGACCATACTTTGTGTTAGAGAACACCGTGAAAAATATCCCTGGGGATTAAAAAAACAAACACCGGGGAGGTTTGTCCCTAAAAGCAGAGAAGAGAGCGAGGGTGAACCTCAGACTGAAAAGAAACCCCACCACCTCCAGGCCCCGAGGACCTCCCTCGGTGGCCTCTTACAGACTCCTCATGTCACACCGGCACAGCAGGCACAGCATCCCAAAGGGCTCCAGGCCTTCTTCCCTCTCCCTTGGGGCTCCGTGCAGAGGACATGGCACCTCCCCACGCTCCAGGGGTAGGGCTGGGGGATGGGGAAGAAGGGCCCACGCAACACCTGGCAATTAGCAATTCTTTTAAGGAGTGCTGGGAGACCTTACGCAGGCTGGCTGCACCTCCCTTTCCTGCCAGCGGGATGTCTGGATGCTTTGCCCCCTCTCATCCACTGTCGGGCATGGGGCCTGTGCCACTTGCAGGGAGCCGGGTCGGTGGGGGGTCACCGAGGACCCCCGACCCTCCTGCAACACCATTGCTGCCATCTCGTCCAGGGGAGCCCAGGCACGGGATGAGGAGGGGGCTGGAGCCCAGGCAGACGCGGGCAGGTGGAGGGCAGTCCCTGTGCCCAAGGGGCAGCAGAAGGGCACAGGGGAGCGATCCCCAGGAAAGGGACCCTCAGCCCCCCTGACCCTCCCCCTTCTCCCACATGAGGGCATCTTTCAGGCCACAGGTGCCCCAACTCCCAGAACAGCCATATTTGGCCATATGTATTCCCATCACAGTGGCCTCCTGATGTCACAAGGCACCTTGCTGCCATTTGTTCCGGGCCCTATAAATACAGGGACCCTGGCAGCTGGCCCACAATTTGCTGAGCTTCAAGGTCCTCAGGATCCAAGGATGCCTGGAAACAAGAGGTCCAAGAGCAAAGCGGGCGGCTGTCCATCTTTGCGTGGGGGAAGAGAAGACACGTGGCTGCAGGAACCACAGAGGAAGAGGAGGCAGCTTCAGACAGGGGGTACCATCAGCCACATGTACCATGTGGCTGGTGGTGTGGAGCCCATGGAGGTGGGTCCACTCGCAGATCAAGAAGAACTGATGGAAGTGGATCCACCTCCAGCATGGCTCCCCTGGCACCACTACACCATGCCAGGGCACCCCTCCATGACACCATCAACACAGCGCTGCAGGAGCGCCCGGCGTCACAGGAGCGCCCGACGCAGCCACTGCACCTGCCAATAGCTGGGAGGCCCAGCCTCCATGCATAGCCGTCCTGCAGACTCACCTGTTCTGTCTCCCGGCGTCAACAGTTATTGTGTTGCTTGCCATGGGTGGTGTGAACCCTTCTTTCCCATCCCCCATCCCCAGCAATGCAGAGCTGGATGCTTATGAGGCTGAAGCTGAAGTTCTATGTCACCGGAGACCTTGTCACAGGAAGATGTGCAACTAGAGCCATGCAAGATCTGTATGTGATGACATCATCATGTGCATGTGATGAAATCATTACCTGGTCAGTTTGTTGTCTGCAAACCTTCATCTATACTGAGTAATCCTGCAGTCTGCCATGTCTAGCTGTGATAAAATTCATTTAGTGTCCTTTCATTTCTGACCAGAGTCTCTGATTAACTAACATTTATGAAATAAGGGAAAGAAATGAAATCTAAAAGAAAAGAAAAAAAAATAATCCGTTACAAGTAAGTAAAATGGAACAGCAATGCTGAGGTTGAAGCCTTCTGGTAGCCTGACCATTGCTCTGAAGAACTCTGAAGGCAGAACAAGACCCCTTTGGAAAGTATTTCTGGTGGCCGTGAACAGGCAGTTTCTCTAGCCTTTGGTGAGGTAGGAAAGAATATACAGGTTCTAGATTCCTGGAAGTAGGACTGGGCCTTTCTCCTACTGAAAAATTTTCAGTCAGCTGTTAATGGAAAGACAGGGATTTTCCATTTTTGTGATAGTACAAATTGATTTATAAACCTGATCTTCTTCCCATCTGTGACGTTTCCTTTACGTCCATACACATATGTCTCATAGCCACATATCAATTTAAAGAGCAGGTAGGTAGTTGTTTTAACTTGTTGCTGTTTTTAATATGATTCAGTAAGTAGGCATAACGGGAACAACTATGTGGGTGGTAGTCATTCCTGCAGAGTTTACCATGTCTGACAAAGAGCCTGCGTGCTGAGAAGAGAGCCCTAGCAGGGCTGTTGTAGTAAAGTGAAATGCTGCCTCTGTCTCGATCTTCTTTTGCAAGTACTTCTATTTCCTGCCCTGGGTGAATTTCTTGAACTTGGCAGCTTACCTTACCAAATGAATTGCTGTTTCTCCTTAGCCACAAGCAGCCACTTGTGAGTTTCTCAGTGGTGCAGGAATGGCCAGACTTCAGGGCATTGGTCTTGTCTGTTGCCTGCAGACCTGCAGCACAGATCTGTTTTGCTGCACGGCACTAGTGCTTTAGCTGGCTGTGTAAAAACTGTGGGTAAGATTAAGATTCAGTCTAACTCCTCTTTGCTTCTGTTGATTTTCCTGGTTTCTCGTATAGTCTCTTTCTTTCTTTCTTCCTGCTATATCATCTTTGCCCTAGAAGAGCCTGTACTGCCAGAAAACTGCTTACATGTTCTCCTTTTTTGCCCATCTCTGTGATAACACAACCGATGTTGGCAGAGTCACATAAGCCCCTGTTTGCACGAAAACCTGTGTCAGAATATAGCAGAATTTCAAGAAAGTATTTTGGACTTCTGCTAGAAAAAGGCTAAGAACCTTTCAAAGATCAATGGCTACAGAAATTTCTGTACTTATCAATGCCACCGCCACCAACTGTCTACCAGGCAAGAGAGTTGAGAGGAGTGAGAGGAAGACCGGAAGTTATGAAGGTAGGCTTCATAAACACTGAGACACTGCTTCCCCTGTCTCCGCAACTTGCAGCAAATGTGGTTATGTCAGTTCTGTCAAATGAATAGTGTGACAAATGATTCCAGTATGAAAGGCTAGCATGAAATCTCCTTATAACAGCCTTTTGACTGTAGGAATTTTTCATGTTTAGTGTAAGCTCTCAAAATCTTCCATTAAGTAAGACTGAAATTAAATCTTGAGCTTATTTATTTATTTATTTATTTATTCATTTATCGGAGGCCTGGGAAAAGGAAATAAAGCAAAATCCGAGAGCAGGGATGCTGTGAAATAGACAGACTAAAGGTGACTACATTGTCTGGCCAGAATTTTCAAAAGTGATTCATAACATTAAACGTCAGTATTTTTGGATTCCAGGTTAAGTCACCAGAATGAAGTTTGGTATCTAGCAAGTTGTGGATATCCACTGACCATCAAATGGAAATTACATCCATTCCATAAAACTAATACTTAATTGCCATTAAATTCAAAGATAGGCTGATAATGTATTTTCAGTGTTACTGCCATCCTTCTGATGTGTACACAGTTTAAGAACACTCACTAAGTGAGTGTTGTTATGGTCACGTATGGGTTTGTAGTAAGGTTTTACCCTTGTGGTAGTTAAGCTGTCATCAAAGCACTTTAGATGGAGACGTGGTTATTGTCCCTTCAGAGGTTAAAAAAGATTGGTCAAAATAGAGTGCTAAGTTGATTATCAGTCAGCATGGAGGAACAGATCCACCCGTGGGGCTAAAAGACTTATTCAAATGTAAAATCAGGAAAGAATCTGAGCACTTCTGCGTTTGAGCCTTTTAGCTGTAGTGATCTAGGAGGAATGAAATCCTCCTTGTATTTCTGTCTCTAAAAGGATTGTCATATGGCATTTTAAGGACATAAAAAATGAGCAATAACTCTCTGAATATGGTTTGAAAACTTCATGAGAGTGAAGTGCAAGTTGAAAGTCCGTGTTGCCAACTTGTTGACTCATGCAGTGTAATCCACACATTGTCTTATGCAATAGTGGCACCCAGTGGAGGCTGGAATTACAGCAAAGTTTCTGTTGCTGCTGGTTGAGGCTTGCCCAAATCTACCCCGAGTTTAGGACTGCAGGCGCTGATTCGGGAAGGTAGGTCTATGAGGACAAAAGCTATGCACAACTTAAATGTTCTCCTAAATCAAGAACTCTTACCTGTCAACCGGGCTTTTGATTTGAAAAGTTTAGGCTAACTGAGCGTTTATCTATCTATTCACAACAAACTCTGGATAGTGTGAGGGCCTTTTTCCTACAGGATGGACCCTCTGCTTTACCTGCATTAGTTCAAAAACCTTAAGCTACATCCAATGCAAGGGCATCCAGGGGAGTGGAGGAAAAATGCCCTCTACTCCTACTGCCCTGAAAGTAGTGCTTGAATAGTGACAGTATCAGCCTCAAAAGCTTGGAGAGAAAGTGAAGAGCAGCACATGTGCATAGAGGCAAGGGGGAACAGAAGGAAAGCACGGCTCCTGATTCAGTAGCAGTCTGGGCTTAGATGCAATAGTCTGAGTAGGCTGTAAGGTGTGTGAGAGGAGTGAGAACAGGAGGAATGCCAGACGTGTGTCATGTAGGTGGGAAGGAAGTCTCTAGGGAGCATATTTTAATGTTTTAAATTCAGGCAATGCTAAAAGTAGCACCACCAAAAATAAATGGACATATTGACAATAAGCTGTAAGCAGATCAAACCCCCCGTAACATGGAGTCCTCGATATGTGACAATGTGCGTGGAATATCAGATTCCTCTAAAGAATATATTATTTACTTTGAGGCTGGTCAGCGCGCTGCTCCGTGGGGAATGAGGCTATATGTGTCATTGTCTGTTTATTGTTTTCCCAGGAGTCATATATTGCAAATAGTTGTGGTGAACAGGGATTTGGGAGTAACTGACTCCCAAGAGTTCTCTCCCAATAGAGCTCTCCCAAGAGAGGCAAAAAGAATTGAATGAATTAGAATAATGTTCCTGTGTACCTAGTACTACTGAGCTCAGATTTCATTTCCAGGTTGCATGCTTGCTCAGTGTCTGATATTATCAGAAAAATGTGGTTAATTAGGATTATGATCTGAGTTCCTAGAAAATTTTCATCTTTAACTGGTTTAGCACCCTCTGCCCCTTTTTTTTGCATTTATTTTTACATTTCGTTGTAAGCGCTGGATGCTTTGGCATTTTGGCCATGCTGGAATTATTTTACATCTGCAAGGAGAGGCTGGATGCAGGAAAGCATGTTCAAGTAACTATTGTTTTGCAGTCAAGAAAGAGTTTAAGAAAGGGAGAATGACAAGTTGGACCAGTTTATTTACACACTTTGGAATTGTTTTCATAGGTGCAAAAATCATTAGGCAGAAGAGGCTGCTTATTAAGTGCCTGTTCTGTCACTGTTGAGTACTGTATTTTGCAAGTGAGCCCATTAACTCACCAGGACTTTCTGTTGATGAGGTTGCTATTCAGTGTAAGATATACTCCCATAATTTCTGGAGAAATGACTGCTTATTTTAATGATAATAGGTAGCATCATTACAATGGCATTTATCCCAGCATTATGTGGCGGTAGGTAAGTAGATTTTTGTCTTCGTTTTATAGCACAGGGTGTGAGAGCAAAATTAAATCACTCAAGAGTAAGAAGCTGCCTCAAATCTGTGTGATGAACTTAATGGCTGATCCAAACATGGTGTTGTACTAGTGTAGGCTGACGAAGGAATTATAATGAAAGAGAAGGCAAATCAGAGCTGTTAGAATAGGTTTTCAATTTATTTTTGAGCTAGATACCTGATTTGTTCTGAGCAAAATTATTAAAAGCCGTAAGACACCATTTTTGTTACTCACTAAAGATTGTTGCTATCTCATCCTGTATCCTGGAAGAAGAATTGGTTACAAGTCACCAGATCTCACCTAGGAAATAGTCATGGATGAAGCCATATGCCTTCTGACTTCCTGCTCCTGTTAGACAAATTTATTGTATGTGTTTAAAGGCTGTAACAAATTGCTTTTCCCCTTACTCAGAAGAGGATTTTTGAGGAATTGTGCCCCAGGGAACTGGCAGTGTTTGAATTCCCTAGCCCATGGCATTTCTGTGCTGCTGTGTCAGATTATGTTGAGACGCACACCCTACACCTTCACTGTACTGGCTTTGCCATCTAAGTTGTACTGCAA